ATATATATTAAAGTGTGCAGTTTACATTTTACATCATAATGAAACAATTTATACAATTAATTAAATAGTAATATTAATGCGATTAATGCTGTAATCACTTCGCTAACAGAACTTAATGAGACATTAACTTCCTATCAATTCTTTCAATAATAACATGCTTATATTGAAATTGTTGTCAGATGGAAGACACATGCTAAGTACTTTCGACGATTTCAAGTTGCCATCTTCAGGGCACAATTTTCTTATAAATCCTAAGACGAACGATGTGTAGACGAAAAGGTTTTTTTTTTAAATAAAATTTTAAACAACTTGAATATAAGGATCTTATTATTCAAGGAATTGATAGTAAGTTAATATCTCATTAAGTCTTGTTAGCGAAGTGATTTCGCTATTAATCACATTAACATTGCTATTTAATTATTTGTATAAACTGTTTCCTTATGATATATATATACATATATATATATAAATTTTGAGAGAATGTGCTAATGTCGAAAGTACTTGTAATAAATGAATCTGTATCAATATGGTAATAATTTTCTCTTATATATATAATTGCTACTAGTTAAGCAGCACTGTTGGTAACAAATTTCGAATGAGGGACTATTGGATTTGTAGATTCATATGACTGAGACAAAATTCAAAAAGTAAATGTTTATTGCTTTCTTCTTTTTCAGGCGTGCTATAAGGCGTGGCCTCAAGCGATGGGCACAAGTCACCCCACTGTACTTCCGAGAAACAGGGGGCAAACCTACTCTTGATATTTCATTTGAGAAAGAGAAACACGGAGATGGACATGCATTTGATGGAATTGGTAAGTTAAAAGAATTGCTTAATAACCTCTTGCTAACGTTCTTTCTTTCTTTCTTTCTTCCTCCTACTCTCTCTCTCTCTCTGATTTTGCTTTGATTTCATTTTATCGACATTTTTCTCCCTTTCTTTCTCTTTTCCCTCTCTCTCATATTTCACTCTACTATCCTCCTCTCTCAATATTACTTCTTCTTTCTATCACCCTTTTTCTTTCTCTTCCTCCTCCTCTTCCTATTTATCATAGCGTTCTTCTTTCTATCGCCACCTTCCTTTATACTCTACCTCCTCCTCCTACTCTTTCTTTCCCTCACTCTTTTTCTTTCTTCTTCCTTCTCCCTCTTTCTCAACCCATTTTATTTCTCTGCTTTTTACTTCTTCTTCCTCCTCTTCCTCCTCTTCACCACATTTTGTCGCTAGTTTTTATCGTCATTTTGACCCCCGGGGATTTTTCAGGACGAGTTTTAGCCCATGCTTTCTTCCCTCGAAACGGTGACACCCATTTTGATGACGACGAAATCTGGGTCAACGGAGGAGATACAGGAACAGATTTGGAGACAGTCGCTGCTCATGAATTCGGCCACGCCCTCGGTCTTGGACACTCCACTGAATCAAGATCACTAATGGCACCATTCTATCAGAAATTTCCTGACAATTTTAGACTTCACCCGGACGATATTGCAGGAATTCAGAAACTTTATGGTAAGTGGTTTGATTTTTATTTTTTGCGGTATTCATCTGGAGATTATCATTCATTGTGATGTTTGTAGTTTTTTTTTAATGAGGAACTTCACTGCCATAACACAACATCTTCAAGCAACATAAAAGTTCTACATACAACATCTGCAAGAGCAGTAGATCTATTTACAGTTGTTTTTTCAGTAGATGTGTAAACCAGCAAAATCCAAAAACACGGCACATAGTGTCTGAAAATTCTCTATTATTCTCCTGACGAAGAATTCTTTTATACTTTATATATATATATATATATATATATATATATATATATATATATATATATATATATATAGATAGAAAGATATTGAACAGAGATAGACAGATATTTAACATGGATAGATAAATAGATAAATATTGAACAGAGATAGATAGATATTGAACAAACATAGATATTGAACAGAGAGAGATAAATAAATAGATAGGTATTGAAAATACATAGATAACATAGATAGATATAGAACAGAGATAGATAGATAGATAGATATAGAACAGAGATAGATAGATAGATAGATATGAACAGAGATAGATAGATAGATAGATAGATAGATAGATAAATAGATAGATATAGAACAGAGATAGATACATAGATAGATATGAACAGACTGAGATAGATAGATAGATAGATAGATAGATAGATATAGAACAGAGATAGATACATAGATAGATATGAACAGACTGAGATAGATAGATAGATAGATAGATATAGAACAGAGATAGATATGAACAGACTGAGATAGATAGATAGATTGATAGATAGATAGATATGGAACACTCTTCGCAGGACGAGTCATTGATGTTAATAAATGTATTAAATACGAAACTAATTTGTCATATGTTTGTGTAGTCTGTTCAGAAGATGTTATTTACTTTACAAATTAATATACAAATAACGTGCGCGTGTTATTGTTATTCATATAGTCGAGTTTTCATTATGGCGCGTCCCACTTTGATGAAGAAAATTTGCCCAAGTCTCATTGAGCCGAACGTTCGACACTTTATGCCGACCCGCTGATGGCTGATAAGACAATAAACTGAAAAATTGTTCTCATTTTTAAATGTATCTTCATGTTGTGTTTACAGGCAAGAAAACAACAAAGGTAACCCCCAGTACCCCCAGAAGGACCACTCCCACACGGCCCACACCCAGAAGGACCACACCAAGACGGACTCCAACAACACGCAGAACAGTTACAAACAGACCAACAGGAGGCCATGGATTTTGTAATCATCTGTACAGAAAAATTGATGCAACCATGAGAAGTAAGTTTGCTTAAGTTATATTTTCCATGATGTGTCGCCTGCTGATGGTCGGAGATTCTTCTTCTTCTTCTTCTTCTTCTTCTTCTTCTTCTTCTTCTATCAGCCTGTGAAGGTCTTTTGTTGGGCGTACCCTTTCCCCATATTCATTACCTGACTGCTTTTTTTCGATTTATAAATGATTTGTTTTTTTACGGGTTAACAACCTCTTGCAAGTTAAAACCAGAAAATATTTTTCAGAACCCTAAATTTAAAAAAGAAAAAAAAAAACCTACCCTGATTCCCAAACATTTTCCTTCTTTTATGAGAGTGGTCATGCCTCTCCACAACCTCCTACCCTTAGTAGCTCAAATCAATGTTTGTTTCCTTATTATCATATCCAATCCTTGTTCTGCCATCCATTTACATTAGCTAGGCTACCCTCTTTTTCCCACTTCCCCTCTTTCCTTCAACATACCATTTGAGTGTTAATTTCTCCAAGCCGCCTGTTCTCCTTATGTGTCCCAAACATTTCAGCTGTCCCTTTCTGATTCTAAATATGACTCACCATCAGACCTAGAATGGAATATTGATGCCATATCTGGGCTGGTGCTGCCCAATTCTCTTTTACAAACCTCAAAGGATTTTATACCACCTTGTGAGCTAGGAGTTATTTTCCATCCTACAACCTCTTTCCCCAGAGTCGGAATACTGCAAGCTGATTATCATTCTATCACTATTTCCATGACGAGCTACATTCTCGAGTTACTCCAGTTCAGACTCATTATGCTGTTATATGAATGAGTGCCAAATTCTCCAAGACCTTTTTCCATATAACGTACCCCAGAATGTTCAACTCTCCTTCTCTGATACGAAACACGAGTGTCTATTCCGTTCTTATTTTCCATTAAACTTCCAGACCATTGCTTCTTACAAATGTTTTTCTTAAAAATCTCATTTTTAAAATGTCTAAAATGTTTTTTCTCCCTCTTTTTAGTTTCTGAAAACGACTTTGTTTTTGTTGACAATCGCTATGTCATCGACGGTCGAAGTGGACACAAAATGGGCATCTCCAGACTCTTTCCAGGCGGCCCTAATATGGTACAAGCTGCTGTATATTCTCAACGGGCCCGAAAAGCTTACTTATTTTATAGTACGTATCATTATCCTACACGATTGAGTCCTAGATTTGAATTCTTGAAATGTTTGCACTTTTCTAGTAATGGCTGATCAGATCAATTATAATAATAATTGGTAACACCTGCCTAATACCAAGCGCTTATTATTATTATTATTATTATTTCCTAGATTTCTGGCGTTTACACATTTCTTTCCGGGTCCCGCCCAGGGACCTAAGGTTAGAAATGGCATCATGACACTTTCCACTGACAAAAAAAAAAAAAAAAAAAATACATAGATAAATCCCTTCGTAAAGTGTGGGCTGTACTCGTGAGAACAATTTTTTGTACCTCTTTGAGGCATGGACTTCCGGGAATCCCTTCAATTAGTCTACTGGAATCTTTTCCAATCAATCCTAGGGCTCCAATTACAACAGGGATTGTTGGCGTTCCCATGTTCCACATTTTTGAGATTTCTATTTCAAGGTCCTTGTATTTTGACAGGTTTTTGAATATCTTCAAAGATACATTGCAGTCTGCAGGGACTGCCATATCAAAAAGGAGGCACTTTTTTTGTTTGTGGTCTTTAATAACAATATCTGGGTGGTTGGCCTTGATTGTTCTGTCAGTGTGTATTGTGTAGTCCCATAGAATTGTTACAGGTCCTATCTCCGTAACCGGGTCTGGGTGGTGTTCATACCAGTTTCTTTCAGTTTCCTTCCCGTAGAAGTTGCAGATTTTCCAGTGCAGATATTGGCCCACTCTGTCATGTCGGGTTTTATACTCAGTGGGTGCCAATATCCTGCAACCTGATACAAAATGATCAATTGTTTCTGGATATTTATCACAGAATCTGCATTTTGGGCTGACACAATATTTTAGTATGTGTGCTTGATAATTCCTAGTTAACAAGCATTGGTCATGTGCAGCAAGGATAAAACCTTCAGTTTCCGCTTTCAACCCTGCACTACGTAGCCACTGATGGGTACGGGTTTTATCTACGTCAGCTTGTTTGGTACGGGCAGAGTATTGGCCATGAAGCGGTTTATCTTGCCATTGTTTCTGTATCTGGTCGGTTGCATTTGTCTTTGCTTTCTTTTATTATTATTATTATTATTATTATTATTATTATTATCATCTAGATCAAAAGGTCTGGGCCTACAGCCTCAATTCAGCCGGGCGATTCCGTTTAGTCCAGAATTATCCCAAATATATTACCAACACTGACGGTCACAATCCAGAAAGTGCGATGCAGTTCAATTATGGCAACGAGAGACTATTTCTCATTAAGGTATGTACAATTCACTCTCTCTCTCTCTCTTTACTTTTTTTTTTTCTCTCTCTCTCTCTCTTATATTACTTCTTTTTTTTTTCCTTTTATTTTCGTTTTTCTTCCTTTGTTTCTTTTTTTTCCTTTTTTCTTTCCTTTTTTTTTTTTGCTTTCTTTTTTACTTTCTTTTATTGTTTTCTTTCTCTCTCTCTCTTTCTTTCTTTCTTCATTTATTTTTATTTTCTTTCTCTTTTGTTTATTTTTTAAAAACTTTTTTGACTTACTTTTATTTTCCTTCTTTTTATTATAATTGTATTTTCCCTCTTCTCTTTCTTTATTTCCTTCTATCTTTCGTTATTTCTTTTCTTTTCTCATTCTCTCTCTTCCTTCCTTTCACTCTATTTTCACATTATTTTCTTTCTTTCTTTTCTTTCTCATTCTTTATTCCTTTTACTATGTTTTTCACATTTTCTTTCTTTCTTTCTTTCTTCATTTCTCTCTTTTCGTTATTTATTTATTTTCTTTTTTTTTCTTTCTTTCTTTCTTTCTTTCTTTCTTTCTTTCTTATTTACCCTTCTTTCTTTTTCTTGTAACTAGTAAGTCAACATATTCTCCATTGGTATGTTACTTTGAATAAATGTAACATGTCTATTTTTTTCTTTTTCATTTATTAATTTTTTCCTTCATTCATTCATTTCCTGATTTATTTCTTCGACAGAATGGATTCTTCATGGAATTCGATCCCTACTACGAAAACTTAGCCCCTGGCAGAGGATATCGAACACGTGACTTTTTCGCCAATATTCCATATGAGATCGACGCAGCCATTTCTTCCGCTCACGAAATCTATTTCATCGCCAAAAAGAAGTAAGTTGTTTCGCCAATCAAATTAAGATCTTAAAGCCTCGTTCATCATTAACAGTTGGTGCGGAGGGAGTTTTCGAACCTTATATTGAGTGAGTTTTAGTAGTAAATGCTGTCAGGCAAAAGGTACTCCAGATGAGTTAAGACTAGAATTGGAAGAGAATTTACGAGCAAAACATTCTGCTTTCTCAGCAGATTTTGTTAACATCTCAAATTGAGTGAAGAGAGAAAGTATAGAAGACACACAACCATCAATAATTACGGGAACGAAATGTGTTAGAGACTATATGATGCCCCAGTGTCAGCAAATAAATTAGCTTTAATTTGAGGACATGTTTACATTTACTAAAATAATTTATTCAACTATATGGGATATTGGATTAATCAATATACGTTTCTATGGCTTATATCATTCGAATTTATTTATAAGTAACAATTTATATTATACTTGTAAGACCCTGTGATGTTAGATGCCTAACCAATTCAGTGTTGATTAGAGCTTGTGATAATTTGCCAAAAAGTGGTAAAAGAGTAATATTGCGATAGAAGGATCAGTCGGTTCGTCAGGGTTCTTAAAGCCTGAAACTACAGAAGAGGATTTCGAACAAGCAGGAAAGCAAGCAGCTGCAAGGCATTTAATGTGGAGTTTAGAGAGAACAGAAGCCGGTTCAGGAGAACATTTCTTAAGTCCTATTGCAGGGATACCATCAAGTTTACATGCTTTGTCGGGGAATCAAGTTTAGAGATGATAGCAGAAATCATGGATGGAGTTATATGTCTATCATTTTATAGAGACTCAGTTCTAAGTGAAAAGTCGGGCAAAAATTCTCCAGATGAGTCAAGAGGAGAATTGGAAAAGAATTTATGAGCAAAACATTTTCTTTATCAGAAGAAAATGTTAACATCTCAAAGTGAGTGAAGAGAGGAAGAATAGAGGCGTTATTCTTATTTAACTCACTATTGGGGAGCCGCCAGTTGTCACGTGAACCAAAATTGTTACAGTCTATACAGTGCCTTACTATCAGCAAACAAAATTTATCCCTTTCGAGTAAACGTTTTCAGTTATTTCGTGCAGACACAAATAGGCGTCTGTTGTGATCGGAACTGTCACGATGGTATAGCCGGAAAAAGTGCTTCCTGTAGACTATAGCGACAGAACAGGCCGATGTTAACCGTTTCTAGTCTTCTATAAGTGAGCTTTATTAGTAAAAGATTTAACTTTGATGTTTGACCAAGAAGTCATTTATTCATCGCATTTATCCCGTACGTCAAACTTTCAAACGAATTCACTAAAAAGCAAATTAGGTTGAAAAAATACTTTTTTTTTCTGTGGAAATAATTTCGGGAAACTGATACATTCTTTCTTTTCTTGTTTCTTTCAGGGCCTACAGAATGTCCAGCAGAGACCGGCGGGTTGATATCCAAGGAAAACCAGTCAATTTAGTTTTCAACAAATGTCGAAATTAAGAAATACTGTTCAATTAAATTAAGAGAAAGACGGCACAAAACGTCTCAATGTCACGGAACCCAAGAACAAGACCAAATCATTTTTTTTTGTATTTATGAATAAAAGTACATTTTGTAAATAACAAGATCAATGTTTGTCTCTTTTTGTTTCTTATTAAACTTCTAGTTAAAGGCTTTTTATGCCGAATAATTTATATATATATATATATATATATATATATATATATATATATATATATATATATTGACATTGACAGTTCAACATGCTAGACGCAATCGTCAGCATCTAGCATGAAACAGACTGTCGCCTCTAAGTGTTGATTTCAATGTTCACTTTTATATTTACACACGCTCTATCGCTGATATTGAGCACTTTATCCCATAAATATAAAGCACACCTTAAGAGTATATTTTTATATATATATATATATATATATATATATATATATATATATATGTGTGTGTGTGTATTTATATATATATATATATATATATATATATATATATATAATGAACATTAGTCAACAGTAAAGTGTTGACATCAATTTTCCCATATATTTACACACGCTCTATCTCTGATATTGAGCACCTATCCTATAAATATAGAACACCTTAAGACTATATTTCTTCATATATATATATATATATATATATATATATATATATATATATATAGGTGTCCATAAGATTCGTGTGCACTTTAAAATATTTCTAACTTCATTTGTATTTGCGATAGAAATAATTTGTAAAATAATTAGAGTAATTTACAGTAATGCCTGAAATCACATTAGTTATTTTAGCTATACTTAAAACTTGGTACATTAAACTTTATAACATTTTTACAGATTATTTCTATGGCAAATATAAATAAAGTTATAAATTTTTTAAAGTGCACACGAACTTTTATGGACACCCTGTATATATATATATATATATATATATATATATATATATATATATATATATAAATATATATATATACGAAAAATGGATGCGAAAATTGGCTTTACAGAGCTGTTGTACTTGCCATCCTTTTGTATCTTTCAGAGTCGTGAACTCCATACAGGTACCATATACGCCAGCTAGGTGTTTTCCATAAAAGCTGTCTGTGTGCAATCTGTGGAGATAACCTTCAAGATAGGACATCTAACGTAGACCTGTTTAACAGGTGTAATATTGGAGGAATCGAGACTTTTCTCATACAGTCTCAGTTACGTTGGACTAGTCATGTCTTGAGAATGTCTGATGTCAGGATACCCAAGATCCTAATGTACAGCCAGTTAGATCAGGGCTACAGGAATGTAGGACGCCCATGACTAAGATACAAAGACAAGCTGAAAAGCAATTTGTCAGCAGTCAATATACCACATAACACCCTTAAACACTTAGCCTTAGAGCGGGTACAATGGAGATCAACGTGTTTTAGTGGACCGAGCAATTTTCAATCTGCTTGTCTGAATCATCTTCAAGAAGCGAGAGCAAGGTCTAAAATGTCAGCCAATGTAACAGTAATCTCATCTCACAATCCTCACACTTGCTTCATATATGGATTCCTTTGTAAATCACTAGCGGGTCTTGAATGCCTCTTGAGATTATCGCACAAAAATTTCATAACTGAATCAAGTAAGATCCTGTCAATTATATATATATATATATATATATATATATATATATATGATTATTCAAATATTTTCATTACAATAAATTAAAATAGAAATATTTTGCATCGCTACAAAAATTTTCCATCGCCTGAAGAGGTGCTATCTTAGTACTGAAACGTGAAAGTTTTTGAGTAGCGATTTAAATGTTTTTTATTGTAATTTATTACAATAAAATTATTATAATGTTATTTTGCACTACTTTGTATTGAGCACTTATTAAAAAAATAAATGCTACTTACTGTGGATTTTTATTCCCTCTGTTCTTTCTGTTATTCGTCTATATATATATATATATATATATATATATATATATATATATATATGAGGAAAAATATTTTAAGTTGTGCTATATTTATGGGATAAATTGCTCAATATCAGAGATAGAGCGTATCTAAATATAAATGTAAAAGTGAACATTGAAGTCAACACTCAGAGGTCACAGGCTGTTTCATACTAGACGCAATTGTCAGGCCTGATGATTGTGTCTAGCATGATGCAGCCTACCGCCTCTTTTCAGGGGAGCACATAACCTTTACCTAGATTATTTTCACGACAGCTTCATATCTGCTCAATTTTGTATCCGAAACGTAAACAAAGCAAATACTAAAGAATTAATGGATCTAATTTTAATACAACATTATAATATTGCTGAAATTAATAAATTCCAGCGACATAGATATTTCGTATCTGAAATAGAACCCCCTCCCATCAAATTAAATAAACTTATCAGATCGAGACTCTTGTATGAATGTCAAGCATAGCATCAAACAGATCAGCTTTATGTTACCGCTTTGGCCGAGTGAGTCCTGGGGTACTGGCAAAGATCGTTCTGTTTTGAACACCGTGGACTGGCGCTAAAGCATCACTAATAAAGATCTATCTATATTTCTGATAACACCAAAAATTGCAATATGAGCACTGGTAAAAAATCGTTGCTGAATACATTAGGTTTATAATATCCAGAAATTCATACAAAGATGTGCTCAAGGGCACAAGGCACAGTGGATAAAGGTGTTGGTTAGATCTAGTGACAGGAGTGTGAGTTCAATACCTGGTTAAGAACTTGGAGAGGGTGAATTAACTGGAGATAACTAGCATCCATTAGGCATGGCACGTGAGCGAAATAAAGGGTTCAGTTCGACATTCCAACCACCCGAAGAAGGCCGGAGCGTACAACGTTGTAATAAATATGGCGACAAAGATGATGTAAATAGTGTAAATAATACCTCATCTCAGAAATATAGACAGATACTGAAGGGCCGAAACGTTGTGATAAATATGGCGACAAAGATGAGGACAATAGACCGAATAATGTAAATAGTGTACATAATACCTCATCTCAGAAATATAGACAAATACTGAAGGGCCGAAACGTTGTGATATGGCGACAAAGATGAGGACAACAGTCCGGATAATGTAAATAGTGTAAGAAAGATCTATACCAAATAATAGAAACCACATCAACCACGAAAATGGATAGCACAAATACTCGAAAGGAAAATAATCCCATAATCAATATATTGATATTCGGCACGAGTTCAAATAAAATGTTAGGAAGGAAACGCCCAATCACTAATAAGAGTTAGCGGGTAAGAGAAAGATTTTATTAATTTCAGCCCCAAACAGAACTGATGATCAATGAATGTCAAAAGTTTCCTTGTAGGAAAACAGAATATATATATATATATATATATATATATATATATATATATATATATATATATATGTAACAGAAAATATATGCAGTAACAGAAAATATATTAAAATATTTATCATTTAATCTATTTCATTATATATATATATATATATACACACACACACACACACACACACACACATATATATATATATATATATATTGCGTATTTAGGCAGCAATCCTTCATTTATGTGTGCTTCATTAAAAACGACAGACACTACTAGTGTACTACGGTACTACGGTTAAGCTTTTTATTTAATTTTTCTTGTGTTCGAACAAGAGCTTTCTTTTTTTGGACACAGAGTATGTAGAGACTGCCTAAATGTTCTACCCTTATATAATCCGTCTTAATGAAACACCCTTTATATATATATATTTGAACTTTATTTCAATCCTTCATGAGCTTCTGATCCTTAGCTATGATTAATGATGAATATGTCATTTTCGTCTATTATCGATTTCATCACGATTCTCCTGTAAAGTAATTCTATATTTTTAGTGCTTAAAGTTGATTCCAATAGTGTTCTAAAAACCTCCGAGAATTCCAGTAAGTTGTCTTTAATAATTTCGAAGATACAACGGTTCAACGCTTAATCTAAAAAATGGACAATTTCGCTTTTACACGATTTGGACAATTTTGCTGTTACACCCGATATATATGTGTGTGCGTGTGTGTGTGTGTGCGTGTGTGTGCGTATGTGTGTGTTTGTGAGTGTTTAAAATTATAAATAATAATAAAAGTGAACAGAGATAAACGCCCCAAAACCGTGTTGTTTATCGTTGTTTCATAATGAGAGCCTATTCACTTAAGAGATGAGTGGATTTAAATGACTGTCCTATTGTCGATGTCATGCCATTGTTGGACTACAATTACAAATTATCGAATCGCTGTCTCATTTCTTCCGTTTTACACAAGAATCATATTTCCATAAAAAAAAAGGAAAAGAACAAATTGATCATCATTTTTCTCTTGACTGCTTCAGTCCTCCTGGGTAACCCGATGGCAGAAGAAATAAACACCCTCCTCTAGGATGATTTTGTTGGCGGTGGCTCTCCCGAGGTCTGTCCACTATTTAATGTTGTCAGACCAGCTTTCGCATCGCCGTCCCTGCTTGCGTCCGCCTTTCAACAATGCTTTGCATGATGGTCATACAGAGGCTGTTTTGACATATGAAGTGGCTAAATGACATCTTCCGGCGCCCAAGAGTGGCGAGGAGAGATTCCTGGCGGCTCACGAGATTTTTAACCTTTTAAAAATAGACATACGGATTTCATTCCTTTTGGGGGGGAGGTCATCCGGAAACACAAACTTTTATCCATGAAAACTGCCATTTACTTCTTAAGAACTGACACAGAGACTAAATTCATTGGCATTAAAAAGAGTACTTGTACTTGCCGGGTTGAGGACAGATATAACCTTATTTTGATGTCACCACTTAGGGGTGTGTGTTAATTGTCATCATTTGTCCTGGGTATGACGATAAACTACATCCGGCAGCATATAATATTTTCTGAAAGTCTGTTGCTCTGCATCTGGTATCTTTTAAGAGTTCAAGATCTGGAAGTTTTCACTTGCTGGTGGTTGAGCTCCACTCAAAGTATCATAATTAACTGAAGACTGTCTAGTTCGGAGCTTTATTT